CTTGTGCGACGCAGCCAAGTTTGTTGAGTGGGAAAAGTTTGTGGGTGGCAGAGAAATATATACGAAAGGAAGGAGATTGATATTGAATCTTGGGGATGGAGTTTCATCCCTTAAGTCGATCTGTCACTCAAAAAACACCATGAAAAAAGCGAAATTCTCCCCGCTCTGTTGCGATGCAATCACAATTTTCGCAGCTGAGAGTTTCTTTTGTGCGCCATAAAGCTTTTTAGGGGTTGCATAGATGTGTTCTGAAGGTGGCAAGTGTGCAGAAAATCCCTCTTCCACATAAATTTTCAATTTTATATGTACATATGTTGCATGGAAAAATATTAATAGCATTGCCTGAAGATGCGTTATTGCAGTGAAACTATGAGACATCATCAGACATCAGAAAAGTTGAGGACTTTCCAGGAATATTCCTCTCAAACCTACTTATTTGATTTAAATGCATATTTGTACATTCAATAGACTACTTTTTGTCATCCCTTAGCGGTCTGAAGTGCGGAGAAAAGTGATGTAAAATGTGGGGATAATTTTGGCCAAAGCTCACCCTCCTGATTCTCTGCGAATTTCCCACCAACCAGACGTCTCTATTGTGGTCTCAATGGCACAAGAAAAGAATAATGCAGAGCCAGAGCTCCCAACTGCGACTTTTGTATAGGTAGAGCGCGTGGTGAGAATGTAGAAAAATATCTTTATAAATTTTCCATGTTTTTGTCATGCACACACATCTTAAGAGTGTAAAAATATTACGATTCCCTTACATATGAAATTGTTTATAGTGACGAAGCTTTCTCACACCCCAATTCCTTCCGTGGAATTCATGCAATATTCTCTGGGTATAAAATGTGAACTTTTGTAACTAGCATAACAAAATAACAGCACAACAGGGGCGGCAAAAAGTGGGAGCAATGCTGGGTGAAAAAGAGTGAAAGAATGTGTAAAAGCTTTTCGCTGTTGAGCTTTTTCGCTTCCTCTGGGAGCTCGGAAAAAAAGAGCAAGCGAAAAGAATGGAAAACACCCTCGCACAAACACATTCACGTGTCATAAAATATCTTAAGATTTATTTCTTTTCTATCACCATAACTATCGCCCACATATATTTATCGCTCTGCCGTGAAATTCTGTAAGCTTTTGCTAGCTGGTAAACAATTTATCAAGCGGAGTATTGATTAAAAAAAAATTCACACTTTAAAACTTTAATAAACATTTTACAATTTTGCGCTGATTCGCCATATCGATTTGTGAATATTTAAGCTATAAATCCAGCACATTGTCGGTGGAAATTGACAAATAATTAGCGTAATTAATTTTTAATGCCGGAAAATTGAATCCCCAAAAATTACACCAATTTAAATCACGTGACGCTGTCAACGAAAACTCCACTTTAAACTCAATTGCATTCATATTTTTCCCCGGAAAGTTTTTTTTTATTAAATAGGGAGACTAACTCAGGCTTCTTGGAATAAAATCAAACATCGCCCTCTGAGAGACGAAGCTATTTCACTTTAGCGGAGACATTTCGAAGGTTAATTGGCGTAATTGCCACTTGACATCTGTCTCTCAGCAGAGGTGCGGTTTGTACTGAAATTATAATATACTCTGGGCTTTTCTGTATACACAAATCACGTTGAAATAATAAATAGACTTCCTATGACAGGAAATTAGTTTGCAACATTTTTTTCTATGCAATTTGCTAGATACATATATGTGCTTCTAATGGCACTCTGGACCATTTTATCGCTCCACAGAGAGACAAAGACTTGCAAATACATGGTGAATAGTGTGAGAAAAGTGAGGAAATCCATCATTTGCTGAATTTGTGCGGTTTTCGCATGCTCGGTGAAATGCCTCATTTAGATGGTGGCTCAGAAAATCTCCCGCATTTCCCGCAAATTCAACACTTTCGCTCTGTATTGGGGCGGGAGTGGATGGAATTTTCCCTTTAATTTACCATTCCCGGCGTCGCGATGTCGAGCGCGAATGTGGGGAATGCCTGTCACCCGCGAATTCATTGACACGGCTCAAGAAGTGGGTGTTGTTGGCACATGGAAAACAAGTGGAGGCATTCATGATGAAGGAGACTTCCTGATGACTTCTGCTCAAGTCTCTTCACCGGTCGGAAAAGTGGCGCGAGATGAGAACCCCAAAAGTGTCTTGTGCGCGGGTGAAGAAAAAAATTGAGGGCGATTTCGCCACCCCTCGTGGGAGGCGAAAAAATATACGAAAACTTGAGCAGTAACAAATGGCCTCTCATCCATTTCGAGGCGGTTATTGAAAAGTGAACTATATGAAAAGTGTATCACACTCTTGGGACAACCACAAGAGAGAGAGGGAGAGAAAAAGAGGACATGCGATGAAAAAATGCCGTGTAACCCATTATTTTTGAAGTGACTTGACACTTATGGCAAAACATACATCAAATTCACTTCATTTTGGAACTTTCTTTCTCAACTCATTTATCCTATCAGTCTCTTTTTGCATACAATGCAAGTTGGCACACTTTCCATATTCATAGAGATGAAGTAAAAAATAAAATTTCCTGGAAGAGCATCTCATGTTTAATTCTACACTTTCGACAAATGTTTCATTTTTATTGTAGACCGTAAAAATTATTACACAATGCTAAAATGTTACATGGGAAAGCTCCCTGAGGAGCATGGGGTTGGTGGGTAAATGGAAAAATTCCATTGAGAATTTAATTCAAAAAGTTATAATTAGTTTTTTCGAACATCCAGAGATTGCTCCACGTAGAAAAGGGGAGTTTCTGCCCCCCCGGAGGGTGCGGTCAGTTGGTAGAAAAAAAGAACCATCCATCAAATTTTATCTCTCACCAGACAGAGTATTTGATTAACCTGTCTACGTGGAAATGAGAATGACGGTGGTTAACATGAAATGTAATGTCGCTCAATTCACGTAAAGTCAAAGTGCAGGAAAAACTGCCAATAAAACAATCTTTAATGATATTAATAAACATCCTTAATGCATAAACATGTTGCAAATTGATTCCTGGACTATGGAAAATTGATTGATGGCGCGCGCAAGGGGATGAAATTTTGCACCCCGGAAGCTTTATAGTCTCGAGGGTGAATGAACACTCTGGCAATTCAATGGGGGCTGAAAGCCCACCCAATCGACGTCAAATAAAATTGATAATAATTAAATTGATCTCAAATGGAGTCATCTATCGTGGTTTCTGCGCCACCCTGCTCTTCCCCGCCTGGCGATGAGTGCACAGCGTGTTCCCGCCTTTTCAGTATTATTTCATTATAAATTGATGTGGGGCCAGAGCGAGAGGGTGGCCGGAACGAAGGGGGATGTGACACAGTTTGAAATAATAATTCGCGATTAAAATATTAATATGCTCTCACATTATTAATTCCTCTCAATATTCTGCAAAACACGCACACAGAAATCTCCTCAGTGGCTAATGAACAAATAAGCCACACTCGGGAATTTGTGTAATGCTCGGAGTTTGGCATTCAATATAACTCACATCTGACACCCCCCAGTGTTGCTGTAAAACCAACTTTAATGGCATGGGGATGAACGAAAAAAAACCATTTAATGCTTTTATTTTACTGCAATTTTTTAAATTGATTAATTGAACTATTTATAAGTAATCTTCCCGAGCTTTTTTGCCACTGTCACGAGATAATGCTTAGAGTTCCCGAGACAAAATGATATGAGTGTACAAATAATATGGAGAGGGAAGCATTAATTAGAATTTCGGAATTTACTTTTGTCAGAACTCAATGTAAATTAAACAGTGCAGCAAGAGAGTTACCCACCAGAGAGCATCAAAGAGTGAATATTTGCTGTTGAATGTGGTATTTAATGCATGTCAGAGAATAATGTGTGTGTGTGTGTGTGTGTGTGTTTCGAGAAGAAGACGTCCATTAAATGAATACTTCATCATTTGTACTCCTTCAGCCACTGCATACGATTCACACAGATTTTGCACCCTCTCCTTTTTTCCACCCACTTCAGCAGATATACCTGTCCTCATAGGTCTCACAGAGTACTCCAGGATGAGTTCTTGTGTAATGCTGGGCTTGGCTGTACAATATGAGGACAATATGCCTGGAAGGAAGTGTTCGCATTACAATATATCTTGCCGGTTGCACCACCATCGAGACTCCACTGTCTTATTTATGGGCGGACTGGGGTGGCTGATGGTGAGATGTGAATGGGGACTAATGTATAGCAAATTCTTGCTTTTCCTCTTTCTCGTATTTACCAAACCGGAGGATAGACAATTAACCTAATTAGTGTTGGTTTTCCTAAGACAAAAGGGAGATGGATAGAGATTGAAGTTATGCCAAGGGAGCGCGGAGACCTCCATGAGATACAAAAAGGCTCCAAGGGTGAAAATTCTCCTGGAGCAGATGGAGGATTAATTTAAGGCCCGCGCCCATTGTGGCCGCTATTGTTGAATGATGATGATGTTGGGGAGTGAAATTGAAAAGGAAGAATTACAAGAACAAACCATTCCCTCAAACAAGGAAGTGTGGCTCTCATATTTAAAATTCCTCCGTTTCGCCTCTTTTTTCCAACGCTTTATTTATTCACGCCAATTCTTCAATGTCTCCTCTCCGGCCACCATCTAATTTGTCTCAATTTAAGAGGGTGTAAAAAAAATGAGTAGGAAGCATTGTTGATGTATTGAACTTGTCTCACGCTTCCTTTATAACATAATATGGCCCTTTTTTGTACAAGAAAATCACATATTTTGAAGCTATTGAATTTTCAGTATATGCAAAAACACGATGTTCGCTTAATTAATTCTATTTAAATAAAAATTCTCTAATCTCTCTACCCTTAAGCTTAAGTATCCAAACAAAACCTCTATCCTATGGTGTGAATTTTCACACCATCAGCAAATACCATTCCAGGCAGGAATTACGTTGCGAAAAGGAAAGCCATAAAAACAGAAGCAATCTTGTGGTATGGTAAGCAAAGTGAGTTAATTATGTCTCTTTCTTTTACTGTACTTTCAGCTGTGTCCAATTGCACATTTCCCCAGCGATGGGAGGGATCATGGTTTCAATCTGGATTACAGCCAATTCATATTAAAGGCTCCGTATTGAGCTTTAGGGGCAAGTGTGTTGCATCAGATGGTGACAAATTTTTAATGGTGGACGAGTAAGTGCTGCTGAAATTTATACTTTATCCCATTTACTGCCAAAAATTTCACTAAAATAGAAATGCTCCGAAATTCATATCATTTTTCCAGTAGACGCCAACCAAAGAGATTTGCATTTTATAGTTTTAGAAGCGAGAACGTTGGTGTATGAATGTCGATGTCTTGTGATATTTGTTTCTTTTACTATTTTGATGTGCCATTGCAATTTATTGTGTGACTTAGTCAACTTTAATATCCTTTTTTTGCAAACTTTTATGATAGATTTAGTGAAAAAAAATTTCACTATGCTATCAGTGATGAAATGTGGGACAGAAAAGTATCAAATTCATGCTCTATTACACAATATCCCGTGAGTTTTTGGGATGGAATTGTGTGAATAGATGCAATAATTTGAATTGTCACTGTTCATCTATCAAGCTTTTTGCCCACATAGTTTCCGGCCACTGGGCCACACTTCCACCCGGAGGATAGAGAGAAAAAAAAAACAATGAGAGTACTTTTTGCTGGAACAAAAGCTCAACACTTTCCGGCATTGAGAGCAAATCGAGGGATATCAATCACTGACACCATCGGACATTTCAATCAATGCTTTTCCAATTGTCTTCTTGCAATGGTTATCAAAGTTTGTGATGTGACATTTTAGAAATTCTTTGATCCTCTGACTTGAAATCAATTTCAATAAGAAAAAACGTCATAAAAACAAGATATTTCAAAGATTATTGTATTTGGTTATTCTTTTCTGTTTAATAATAAATGTGTATGTGTGATTAAGTAAGTGAATGATAGAAATTAGACTATTAATTGTAATTTATAGGTGTTCATTTAGTGTGCAAGAAACGAGCAAGAACAGATATGATGTATTATAGAATAGATAAATTTCCCAATATTTATCAACTAACTCTTGATTTCCCCTGAAAATTGTGCATGAAATTAATGTATTTTTTGTGACTGTAATTTAATTATCATTTTTACATGTTTTATTGACTCTATATTGAACTTTTTCAGTGGCCAAACGAAAAACTAATTCAATATTTTCTTATCTCTTTTTCATGGCAATCATCGTTCGTGTCCTGTGTGATTGTGGTTATTGCGAAACGTTGAAAAAAATCGTATAAACACATGAAATATGGTGCAAAACCACCAAATTGGAATTTGCACAATCAAATCAAAATGCAAAAAAATACTGTCTCTCGGTTGATGCAAATACTTTGGCAAAATTTTTCATTTGCAATCTCGTCGAACTGCATCAATCAAACATGGAATAAATTGATAAATTGGGGATGAAATTGCTTTTGGGGAAAAATGCGTATGTTGCAAATGAAAACAAAACGGAAAAAAATGTTTGAAAATGACAGTAAGGGATGCCATCGCTGTGTTGTGATCTACGAAAAGCACAAGAATGTTCTACAGTACAAAGAAAGTGAGTGCGAAGATTTGTACATGGATCAACCGATACAGGAACCGCGTAGCGTATTAAAAAGTGATCGTAGGGGGGGAGCTCATCCCAACACGAACGGGCACTCAAGATTATCATCATCGGATCACTATTTATTACGATCCCATGACGATATTGATAATTGTAAGCATCAAATCTAAGTTTTATTATTTTCCTCTCTGTATAAGGAATTTTGTCTTATTGGTTTTATTACTGTCTGTCCTTTTAATTTACCTGTTATCTTGTATGTTTTCTCTTTATTTGATGACATTTCTTATTAGATATCAATCTTTTAGGAACATTTTCTCTCTTTAAGTTTCACTCTATCTCTTCACCAACAATTCAACTATACTTTAATTTCACTGTGATTTTTCCAGTATTTCACAAAACATACGTTTTTTATTTCACTTTTCCTGTAAGAACTCTCCAATGATATCGAAAAAAATTATCTTTCGTTCTCTACTCAAACTCAATGAAAATAAGATATACAACATCACTTATCAATAGTATTTTTTGTGACATCTTTCTTTCAAAATATATACTCTCAATTTGTTCTTCAATCTCATTCATGCAGTAATTGAATTAGCAGTTGTTACATCACCAACCCATTAATTGAAGATTGAGTCGCGTTTGTACATACGATATAAGAAGAAGAAAAAACCTCCTTCAAAATTAAACCAATGTCGATAATTTTTCCATTTTCACCTTATTTCTCACATAGCACAATTATGATTAATTTTCACTGAGTTACCTAATCGTGTGTTCCACTTTTAATTTAACCAATTAATTTAGTCTTCATTTTCATGGTTTTCTCCTCTTTGTTAATGTCTTCACATTTCACCTTGTTTGTACGCTACAGACATAATTATAACAGATATTATGGCTGCTAAACTAAATTGAGATGAAATACAGTCATTAATCAATTACTTTATCAGTAGCTGAGACAAGTGCAGCTACGGGAAATTATTGTTCTGCATTTATTTTTTCTCTATATCCATTAAATTGTTGGGCCGTACTCATATACCTTTGAAGCAATCAATTTTTAACAGTAATAGCAAGTCAAGTAATTATTGCAGGGATGACTGAAGAAATCTAGCAATGTCTTCCTTATTGACATATTTTACACCGTTGGAAAGCCGTCCCAGCCTTTTTCTTTCTTTTTTCCTGTCACCTAATTGTATCCCTCAAATACCGGCAAGGATTGTAAATACCTGCGAAGTTTATCGCTCTGCTCATAGAATTTGCATCCTTCCAATAAATTTCACTTCGCTGCAAGTTGAGCAATAGGTAATTTTGTTTTACCCAAAGAGTAAAAAATTGTGCATTTTTGCACCTTATTCCAAAAGAGCTTTTCTGTTGTAAGTATATAAATATACTTACATTTGTTGTCGTGTAATGCGAGCAAATAAAAATTATTCTTTCAACAACAAAGCATAAGCAATAATTATGCAGTCTATTTGCATAAAGTTTCACGTATACTTGCGGGTAAAGAACAGTGTCCGGAAAATTCATTCGCCACGAGTAATTTCGTTGTTGTTTCTAGTAAAAGAAATCAAATAATATATTTTAGTGCATTTCAAAGATTCTTGTTCATAAGTTTGTCCCTGTAAATATACCGTAATTGCCAGTTTTATGTTACTTTGCCAAAATCGACTTCAAAAATTTTTTTTTAGTTTTGAGAATATTTTCTTTTCAAAAAATAAACAAACGAAAATTATTTGTGAAAACGCAAGATAAAAATTGTGTGTGTGATTGTGTGCTGTGCTAACTTCCATCCCTACACCCCGAGAAAAGTTGATATACTTTTCATTTGTGTATAATTTCCCCAGTAAATGAACAACAACAAAATATCCCCCAAGACCGACTGTAAATACTTTTATGGAAAGAACTGAGATTATTAAATTTTCTATGTGTGTTTTTTATCAAAATTTCATTTTCAAAATTATATCTGCACGTTTTCTTTGTCAAAATCTTGCTTCATTTCCCAATTGATTGTACTCTATTTGTTGAAAAGAACAGTTTTTTTTTCTTCTCAATTTCCTTTTCTATTTTCATCATTGTCATATGGTTTTTTTTTTCTTTCAATCCATTGATTGCAACTCGACATTATCATTTTAATCACTAACCCTTGAGAGTGTGCTCTTGTCCTATGATCCTGAACCAATTTGTCCATTGATATGTTCACGCAGACAATGCCTCTTAGCCGAATTCCCAGCAGAATTAGATTTATGGATGAAGATGACTAAGGAATTGTGTCGATTTCAGGGTGAATCGCTCAAGATGAAAGCACATTGCAATAATAAATTTGTGCGTCTACACGAGGCTCTCGGCAGTATTAAAAGTGGTGTGTATATCACTGAGCCAAAGTGGTTTTCTGTAATGCAATCTGTTGTCATAATAAAGGCGGCACCGGGAGGAGAAATGAGGTTTTGGCTGAAGCCGAGCTCACCACAAAATATACAAGAAATACAACGAGTATCCAATCAAGAGCACGAGAGGGAGAAAGAATGGGAACTCCAATGGAGGATCAGTGTGGTGAATGTGGGAAGAAGGGCGAACAAAAAAAGCTCCAGCAGAGAAAGCTTCCAGTGAAACATGGAATGGAAACGAACGAAACTAATCAAAATCTAATTTCCACACAAACTTGCCATACAAAAGGCAATTGGATTATTCAATATTGTCATTGATTAAATTTGATTTTTATTCAGTATTATACCAAAAGACTCCCCACTAGCAAATACGATAAAGGGGTACGTGAAGTTACTGTGGACAAAAAAAATATATCTCTCACTTTGTATTTCATATATTTTAGTCTCGAAACACTGAAAAAGGCGCACATTTTTGTGTCTTGTGCCTCAAAACTTGCTCTCTCTGTGTCATATTATGCTTGCATGAAAAGTGAGAAAAGAGAGGGAGAAAAAACGGAAACTCCTCTCGTATAGACACATTTTATGTGGTTGAAGATAAAAAGTGGCGCAACTTTATTCACTTGGTTATACTCGTCGTGTGATAAGCTTTGTTTTGCCTCATTATTCCTTGGGGATATCAATGACATGCCGAGGGTCTCACTGCCCATACCCTTTTTTGCGGACAGCAATACATAAAACAGACAATCCTCGCACATCAAATTAGTTTCCCTCTTGCTTTGACACCCAAAACTTTCCATGAAATGGGGGAGAGAGAAAGGCTCCAAGCAGTTAAGGTCGAGGGGTTTGTCACTCACACTGTGAGCTTTCAGCATTGTCTTACTCTCAGATATTTTCACTGTGACATTTCCTTATACATGTTTCCATGCAGTATTTTTCGTCCTATCAATTTCCGCAGTGCTTCACACCCCCTGAACTCTGGGGTTCTCTTCTCCTGAATTATATATGGAATGTTTCTGGGGGCTCTTGGTAGAGAGACAGGAAATAAATATAGCACATTCTTTCACACGACTTCAATTTCTCACCACACAGAACGACAATCTCCGCTGGGAGAGAAGTCTGCTGGGGGGCGGTGGAGGGGGAAATTAAATGGGGGGAAAGGGAAGGCATTTGCAAATGTGAGATGAGCTTTTTCCTCGTGTCTGTTTTGGCAAACATTTGACAAAGTGGGGACAATGCAGAAAAATCTAATTAATTTCTTCAGTGTAATTTTTCAATTTGGCCCCAATATAAATTTGGTTGAGTGTGTTTTTCCCATCCAGAAAAGGTTCTAGTGTCCCGGGTATGAAAAAATTCAAATTTACCAATGGATATTAACGGACTGATATTGTCCCTTTGGACGAAGAAGGAAAAAAACGTGATGTAATCAACGGGAGTGCAGAAAAAGTGTATCCCATTTTCCAAGGGGTGGAGCATTTTGATATGGGAAAGGACAATTTTGTGCGTGGATGGGAAGTGGGGAATATTCTGTGGGGTACATGAGGAGCAAATTGTAATGGAACATGCCCAAATGAAACCCAACATTTGTTTTAATTATCTCATTTTAGTCGCTTCTGCGGAGCTTTGTTGCCCATCCTCGTCGCCACTTCATAAAGAAAGCCACCCAAAATGGGCAGAGCTTTTGGCGTTTTGTGTGCGTCACGGAAAAAAAACGTGCTAAATTGGAAGAGAATCCCTGAAATCGACACTCTGTGCTGGACTAATGGGAACCTTCTTTTAAGGGTGAATTTCTCTGTCTCTCTGCCTCGATATGGAGGATTGTGAGAGAAAAATTAACATGGAATTCATATTGATTTTAATAATTCCACTAGTTGATGGTGCTCCATGACCTTCTGTACTGTCTCGTTGGACAATATGAAATTTACATTTCAACCCCTGAGGCCACGTGTGGGCAAAACCCCTCGAAATTGCATAAAATAGTCATCGGCATTCGGTCATTTTCCAATACATATGAGATGACCATCGTAATTCTGATTCCATGTTGTGTTATTATCTGTGGAAATTCAATACTAATTTATGTATGGCATTTTAGTGCTTTATGTGCGGAATTATAGATTGTTTTGCCAATTTATGGGCACAATATGCATCAATAATATTCATCATCTTGTAAATATATTCGGAAAATAGATTGAACAGCCCCAGATTCCATCAACCATCCTTTATCGAGGCTGAAAACCTCATTTATTGGCAAAATATCATTTTAACCGATGGATGAACGCACAAAATACACATCTGTCTGCTCCATTTCATAACTGACACCACTTAAGATTGCATAAAAATGCTTCTAATATTAACAGAAAGTTTAATTTTTTGATTAGGTGAGAAAAGAAATCAGATTATCATGACCTGAATTTATCAACCGTAAAGTATTACTGCTTAAGTTACAAAAAAATTAAATTTTACGTCCCTAAAAAACAGACAGGAACAAATAAAATTGGCAAAAGAATTAATGTAGGTAAGAAATGACAGTAAAAATCGTCAACATAATTTCTCTGTAAGGACTTATGAGGCATAAAAAAGAAATAATTCACCTAATAAAAGTTTTATGTGGAATATGACGTAAAGTCGCGGTTTTTTTGCTTTAATTCCCTCTTATCAATTCAAATCTCATGCCATAAACAATTATTTAACTCATAAGTCTCTGTTTTATTGGGTTTCCTTACTCATTAATTTATTATCTGTATGTTGAAACATGTTTTTCTTTTACCCTCTCTCCCT